CTCTCAATATACCGACAGTAAACATTTAGCTGTCTACATCAATTTTTTTTTTAACTAATCAAAAGAATTAACTATTCTCGACCAAAAAGTTCTAGATTCAAACCTAGACAATTTGGCCCAATTATCCTATAAATTAAATTTATATAGCGCATTAAAAGCCCACAGACAAAATATTGATATAGGACGAACTTTTGACATTAGGAAATATTTAGAACCACTTAATATATAATATAACGTAAGCGTTCATTATTGGTTAAGTACTGAATCGATTTTGGTTTTAGTGCACAATTAAGGACTAAGGACATTTCTTTATAATTAGGATATCACATAATTCTTATAAAGATATGCTGTTTAAGCGTTGGTCACGTAGAAAATCGAGAAACCCATCTTTTATCATATACATATATAAGATACATACACGGCGTAAATTTAGTTAAGAGAAATTTAAGTAAGGACCATCTCTCGAGAGATTGCAAGCAGCATAGACGCAAGTTTAATTTCGGCAAAAATGCTGAAATAATCATTTAAATAAACTAAATTCGAATAACTTTCAAAAAGGTTTTCTTTTTTATTTGCTATTAATTTATATTTTTGATATGACGTTTCAATATTTTAATTGCGAGTAATAAAAACTGGTACTTGGCAATATTTGCTGCCATGCCTTTAAAGATTAAATAAAATATTCAACATTTTTGTCGAAATTTGCTATTTGAAACGAAACGAGCCGAAAGCTTATTCTATGCTTTATATGGACGGAAGGAACGTTTTGAGCTGAAACAAATTCGGGCAATCGTTTGGATTTGAGCGTCGCAATTATATCAAAATCGTCACAGCCGTCTGTCTATTTTTTAAGCTTTCTAGGAATTTTTATTTTACTATTACAAACATATATTGCAAAAAAATCGATCAAAAATATCTATAGCTTTATCCAATTAATTTTTTTTTAATTTTTGTTTTGTGTTCAACGAGATTTAAAAAGCGACGCCCCAATCAACGAAATTTCAAAGGAAGCTTTGGAAATACATACGTATGTATAATTTTAGTTTTAATATTTTTCTACTATAAGCAAACGTTTGCGATCATAGCCACCGATACAGATACTGTACATTACAAATTTTTAAATCGATTATTACCATATTGATTTTTATATCAATTTTTATCGTCGAATCGATATTCACATTCTGTAATTCATTACACGACTTAAAAAATCGTAATCTTCAGTAACCATAAATAAAACGGTATTAACAATTAACTACAAAAATAATATTAAATAAATTCATCTGTCAAATGATATATAAATAAAGTGATAAATAACAACCTAAGGTTCCCGTTGTATTGAAAGCGATAATATTTAAGAAAAAATCTTCTAAAAATTTGCATCGAATTAAATAAATAAACTCTTTTAAATTACTTAAAGTATGTTAAAAAATTTTAACTATAGATAATTTAGTAATTGTTTTTTTATTTAACTAATTAATTTAATTAAAAAAACTCAAATTGTTTTTTTTTATTTAATAATATATCAATATTAAAAGTCCACTATTTGTTATTATTAGCTATAAAATTTAAAACATTTCCAATATAATACTTTCTTATATCGCTCCCAATACAACCGGATACTTAATATATATTTTCAGCTAAATCCATAACAATTCCATACAATGTAAGGGGGGTAAGCGTCAGAAGGGTTTGAGGTAATAGTTTCTATATTATGGCAACAATAAGAACACCAATTATATGAAAAAAAAACAAAAAGAATATCTATATATAAAAATATTAACTAACTATTATAATATACTAAAAAACTAAATTATTGTGCTTAATTCCATTTAAAGTCGAATATTCTATTAACTAAGTGCAAATTGTACTAACAGCTTTATGTGGAAGGGTTGGTTTTTGTTCAGTGGGATAGCCTTTTATTGTATCTTAATACTAACATTGAATCACATCGAAAACGGTCTATTCGTTGAAACACGACACCTAACTAACATTTATATGAGAATTTCTAGTTTTCGACCATTTTGTTTAGGCCGTTGACTAAACTAAGTGTTACTTTCTGGTATATCTATTCAAATCTCACCAACCCCATCTCGAAGCCATTTTAAACTCACCGACGAATAAATAATAAATCTATTTAAAAAACGACAGATTGAAAAGGAATTAACACGTTGTAAATTAAATAACGTTTCAAACTTCATGTGTTTTTGTACATTGCTGTGGTTATCAAATGCATGCAAAGTATACGAGCCGTTCCATAGACACGCAAATTAAAAGAGTTTATTGTCACATTAGATAAAAAAAAAAAACAAAAAAAAACAACCGCCATATGTCAAATTGTTTGACAGATAACATATTTTAAATACTGCTGAAATTGTCTATGAAACAAAATGAAAAAGATGCCACAGATAGAATAAATAAAAACCATTCGGTTATTGTCAATAAGCAATAGAAAAAAAGCCTTGAACACATTTACACTTAGCCTATGAACTTATATAGTTTGGAAGAAACATGTTTTGGTTTCGACACGCCATTTTGTGCTAAAACCACACAATAAAAGCGTATTATTTAAGCACTATTAAGACATTTATGCCTTTAAATTCCTTTTATGGACAGACACCGGACTGTGCCATTGCAATATATTATTTATGAAAAAAAAAACAAAACATATGAAACAAATCTATATCTCCAATAAACCTAAATATATTGCAATGTAAGACAGGCCAAGTAAATTATATACTTCATCAGGAACTTGACTATCAATTTGAATTTTACTAAACCATAGACAAATTAAACTAGAAAAATAAAAAAAGTAATAATAATAGAAAAAAAACTATCAATTCCATAAACGCTCAAAACATTAACCCTACTTCACTCACCTACGAACAAACAAATTCATCAAAAACCTTCAAATACGTGCTACACTTATCTATAACTATTATAATAACATATATAACTTTCTTTGCACGAATTTTCTGATATAAAATAGAGTCTAGTTGAGATAAATCACATTTTTAGTAAAGGTTTCCTTTTCGATCGGTGTGAACGAGACTATTAATAAAATTGGACTCACCGGGAATAGAACCCGCACTAACGTTTGAAACAATCACTTCCAATATTAATGTCTCTTCATAACACTTAATAATATTAGTTGTCAATCGCATTATGACTAGATGTTTGATAGCTTATTAGTATTTTTCTTAATTCAACCCTCAAATGCTGAACTTTGTTGGAAACCTAATATTAAAACTTTAAATTTCATGTATATTTTAGATCAATTCATTTTTTATATAAATAAAATTAAGTAGTATAATGTAAATAAGCATTTATCGCTGCCGTTTTAAGACTTAAAAATAAATTAATAAAATATAAGTGAGCTTGGTTAGAAAAGTCTAATTTAAAACAAACTTTAAGTTATTTTATGTACAAAACTTGCATTTAAGGGTTAAATAAAACCTTCCAAAAAAATATTACTTAACAATTAGCCCTCGTCCACACCAAGCTAATTTGGCAAGTGTTATCGAATCGTTTAAAACAGACATATAGACGTTAACATTTATATTTTATATATTTAAAAAACCAGCCAAGCACGATTAATAAATTACACAATGCACGAACTAACATTTATACCATTTTATTTATATAACTATATATGTGTCTGGTCTTTCAATTCTAAGGTTCACCGAATAACACTAACACAATTATTATAATAAATATATTCGAGTGTAAATGCATAATTAATGCTAATTTTAGAAAGTGTTATCCATTTTGTTATATTTCCATTATAAAACGGTTTTGATATGATTCAGGATTGCAACGACCCCATATATAATATATTACGTAACGCGGTTCTCATACTAAAGTTGCATACGTACAGACCGACCGATATTTATAATAGGAGTATTATATATATTTTTGACATCCGCGTCACCTTTTCGTCATCGTAATTCAATCGCATCGAATTTTTAAGGCTGAGCCATTAATGGCTTTAGAAGCATAAATGCGTTTCTTGTAAAAAATCGTCAATTATGAACAAAAAAAAAGATGGCCGACTTCGAATAAAAACAGGAAATATTGTCAGGTGCTATAAATAGAAATAGTCAATTGAAAAAAAAATATACCTATATCAAAATTCCAACTTAGCCAAGTGTCAGAATCGCAGTCTTGAAGAATATCTATTTGAAATCGGCCATTTTCTTTTTAATTCTTCGATACACGTATATCATTTCAGAGCGAAAACCTATGTAAATAAACGGTTCCCTGTAATACTGTAAGCATAGAAATTTATATATAAATCATTATAAATATATTTATTAGTGTGTTACACTAATTTAATATTTCAGAAAAAACCCATTCGTATTTGGTCATTAGTACAGTCCTTAAAATTAGAAACATCAAAGGTAATTCCCCTATATATTTTGTCTATACTTTTCCATATATTTTCCTCAGTATAGATAAAGCATACAAACACCTAACATTAAGTCACAATAACTTAATAAATATATTATATTTGAAACAAATCAAAAACAAAAGTCACTATTATCCTTACAAATTAATATTATAAAATAGTAAGAATGAGAATATTTAATATTATAAAAATACTGCTCTGTCTTATTTGTTGGCAGAGTGTAAAATGCGTTTAGAAAAAGCGTAGATACGTAATATAATCGCATTTACAATTATAATTGAAAACTATCAAATACAATTATAATTGAAAACTTTCAAACACAATTGTAATTGAAAAACAAACATCCAATTAATTCAATTATAATCACTAATCATGAAAGCGTGTCATTATAATCGAATTGGAAACCAATCACAATCATCACACTTTACATACTACAGATATTAGAAAAAAAGAAATGGATTTTTCTATTATTTTGTGCTTGGATATTGCGTGATTATTTATTTATAAATATTTATAAAGTAAATAAAGTGACTAGTGCTTTTGATTCATAAAGTTTTCCCTCCAAAATGATTTATTATCATTAATCATTAATTTAATTTATAGGCCCGGTTGCCAAGTAATGATATGGATGTCTGTGTACGAAACGATTGTCGTACCTTTGGTTTTTCGGATAGAAATCGTTTCGGTTGTTAACTTTCCTGTAGTTTTGTGTCCGACGTTGGTTCTTCTCTTTGTCCGTTTGTTTGTTCTTCTGTTCGTTATCTTGTTTGGCATCCGTTTTGGGCGGTTGAGTCTCGGTGGATGGTTTCTCCTGATAGTAATGTCGTTTAAAAGTCAATAATTTAAATAATTAAATATTAAATGTGGTTCTTTGGTAAGCACATCCAATATGGCCAAAGATCTTTAAGGAGGGAAAATTGGACAATTCGAGAAAAGATAAGTACTTTTTTATAGAATGTTTGTATTAACTCAAAGATAACTAATCACAAAGTTTTGGACATAAAGTCTGTCGGGTCAATCGATCTTATAATATATAAGACATATAATGTTATTTTTGCAATATTAATTGATATTAAATAAATATTCTTAATTAACATTTTTTCAAACCAAATATATTTTTTTTCCAATTTAATTTAATAAAATTTAACATTTAAATTATAACAAACCTCTTTATGTTCCACAGTCGATTTTGAGGTATTCAATGCAGCTGGAGAGCTTTCTTGTGACTGTTTGGGTGAGGATTGGGCTGGTAATGGCGGCGAAATATCATTCTGAAATTGTATTGAGGTTATGTAGAGATATGTATATAGTTCAATAATTAAAACGTATTTGATTAACTATATTATATGAGATTCGTCAACACGTCAACGTGTAATATTTATAATATAACACAGCACTATAGGGCATGTAGCATAGTGTAATAGTGCTTCAGGTAATACTTTCTTAGATTTACGGGAATATTTAACATTTTAATATGTATTTACAATATGGATGTATTTAAAGTTATATATGTGTAGTCTATCAACTATCCGGTATCCATAACACAAGCCACGTAGCTTACCATGGATCTAGATGATGCTATGTGTTAATGTCCCAACATATTTATTATATTATAATTTATTATAAAAATAAAACCATCTTTTCAGACTTTTATCTGGTTTAATTTTATTTTTCACTCTGTCCCGTGACCGTAATTGCTGTTGAGCATACGAAACATCGGCACCCAAAAATTAATATAAATCCGTAAAACACTACGAAATGATTTAATTGTATAATATGAATGATTATTGTATGTTAAAAATATAAAATGTATAGTAGTTATATATCACTATAGTACACATATCACAGTGTAACAATACCAGACGGACTTGCAGACTTCACATGTCTTTCAAAAATTTCTTTTACCGTAAGACAAGTGGTAATAATGTTGAAAATGATTCGGACATGAAAACATATCACTCACTTCACACGTGAGTCTTCAACACTTATACGTCTTTATTCAGTCTTCATCATCATTTTACTTGTTTCCCAAACCTTTGAATTTTTTAGCATAATAAAACACTATATAATGGGTACATCACACTATAGTGCACATAACATAGTGTAACCAACACATAATACAACAGTGTACGTACAGCATGCGGTGCGAGCGCCACGGTGAGTGTGAGGTCACACCACATGGCGCAGCGCGCGCGTCGGGCGCTATTGCACAGCTGCTTCACAGCCGCTGCTAGCTGGAGTATTGCTGTGATACAAATATTATTTAATTGATAATTTATTATTTGTTTTAAAATGTATACATACATTTATCATTTTATTTCTATTTATTATTTTATTTGAACAATGGAAAAAGAACAGTTACTAAATCTATTATAATTATTTGACATAAACCACCGTGTCTTTTGATCAAAGTCAAAGTCAAGATATTATTGAATGTAAAAAATGCATGATTTCGTTTATTCAACGTTATTTTTTTTTTCAAACATTTTTCAAATTACCACGGCTTCGGAAATGAGGCGCATGATCCAAGGAAAAGAAATGGCGCAAGAAATCTTCGCGAACGAATCTTTTCAATAGATGCATAGAAAATTACATCAAAGTTCTTAGAATAGATTTGGAACTGAATTGGAACTTACTTGTCATTTATATAATCATTTTTCAGAATAATATGTTTTTTTACACAGTTTTTGCTTAGTAACAGTTTTGAATTTATTTAAAGACATTTGTTTAATGTTGCTTGGGACCTTATTATAAAAGTGTATACTATTTTTATCTACATAAATTAAATTTTCATATATATAACGAGAAAACAATTTCATTATGTTTATTTAAATTTTCCTCTTAATTAATGCCTATATACTAGCTTGTAAATTGCTCGGATAGCTCTTTTCTGCAGCACAAAAATAGTTTAAATGTGAGCAGCATGGCCTCCAAAGAAGAATACCATAAGTCATGATACTTGGAAGTAACTAAAATAAACTTATCTTGCAGTTCTATGTCTGCAAGATAGCGGATTTTTTTAACAGCAAATGCTGCAGAACTGACCCTATTCGCCAATTTGGTTATAGGCGGGCCCCACTGAAACTTTTTATCTAGGGTTATTCCCAGAAAATTTGTTGCATCTACCAGATTCAATTCCTCATTATTTATTTAAATTAATCAATCAATTTCCTAACCTTTTTACCATTTTTTTATCATCATGATTGCGTTACTTTAAAAGTTTGATTTTAAAAGTTGATGGTGCGACGCAATCAACACATAGACAGACATACAGACAGATATACAGACAACGAAATGATTCTATAACGCTCCCTTTATTCCCTTTACACAGTACACATGGAACCTTAAAACCAATACAAACAATACACTAACGGTCTGTCCGTGCGTATCTGCCTGACGGATGTGACGGATGTGTCGCGTGCGGCGCCAGCTCGCGTCGACGCGCCGCCTGCACAGCCGCCACCGCGTTGCGCCACGCCAGCATCGCGCTTTCCACCTCGCTGTGTGGTGCACTGGAATATATTATATTTATATATTTATTAATTTATTAGTTTCGATTCCCCGTACAAACTTTCATCCCCATTTCCACAACCTTACGGGATGATTTACGGGATAAAAATTCTAAGTCCTTCCCAAGGTCACAAACTATCTTACCGAATTTCATCTAAATCAGATCATGAGTTTAAAAAAATATCTCATTTTAGTAAAAAAAAAATTCTTTTCATATTCTTCTATACAAAACTTGTCCTGACAACTAAGTTACTCCTTATAACATCCACCTGCCTGTGAAAGTCCCGTCAAAATCGGCCCAGCCATTTCGGAGATAAGCCGGAACAGACAAGACAGACAAAATTTTAAAAAATTGTATTTTTCTTATAAATACCATATTTAATTCCATATACATTTAGTAAAAAGCTGTTATTTTGACATTACAGACATTTCAATTTCATTTATCTGTATAAATATTATATAAAAATAAGTCCCCCGGCCGCGTCTTTCTGTCCTCCTGTCTGTCCTCCTGTCTGTCTGTACGCGATAAACTCGAAAACTACTGAACGGATTTTTATACGGTTTTCAACAATAGAAAGAGTAATTCTTGAGGAAGGTTTAGGTATATAATTTATTATGCTTTTATGTAAATTAGCTGAAATACGGCGACAAATGTTGAAGAGGTCGCAAAAAATCTCGCCAAATGGGAACTTTCCACGCGAACGCCGCGTAAACTAGCAAAGATACAGTTAAGTAATGTACTAGAGAATTCAAAATCTATAAAAATGCTACAAAAAAGTCCGCGATAGCATATCTCTATCTCTTACGGTTGACTTACAATAACCACTTTTATGTTAACATTTTTAATTAAAAACATTACGTTATTTTCAAAGTTATTTTCTTTAGTTCGGTATTAATCCTTATCCAAATGAATATTTTAGTTAGCTTAGTCATTTAATGCAGATTAAAATTGCTCTTTACACTAAATCAATCAGATGAATAGTTTTTGAGATATCGTTGTTAGAAGTAATTAGTAGCGAAACATTTTTAATGCTTGGCGAGCATTGAGATGCCTACGGCGAGTCCATCCCCTCTGCCCCGCATCGCTCGACCGCCTGCTCAAGCTATATAAACCGGGCGATGTAGCGCGCGATCCTAGGATACTTTTTACCGCGGGAAAATATCTTATTTCTGAGGAAAAATACAAAAACTGCAATGTAAGAGTATACTAATATGTAACACCTAAGAATTTAGTTTTTGGTCATCTGAACGCGGGCGGAGCCGCGGGCAATGCTAGTATCTGTATAAATGTATTGAATTATTTATTTATTAGAATTACGAATAAAAGTTACAATTACATATAATGTACACAGATAGACGTCAAGTAATACATAGACTACTGTTTGACACTTAATGACGCACCCGAGGTCAGTTTTAAACTCAAGTCGAGGATGTTTTTCTTTAGTTTGAATGAAAAAAAAAACATTCCACACACCTTTCGAGAAAAAAGAACTTTAAATTTATTCAAAACCGCGAAAAATGTAAAAAAATAAAATAAATAAATACTATACGCTCACATTTCAGCTAAGTTCTTAACATCCTCTCTCCAGCTGGCCGGGTCGAAGGTAGCAGGATCGATTTCCTTCTCAGCAACATTGTCCTGACCTCTCTTTAATACTGTTATCTTACTCTCTTCCACTTTATTTGGCTTTTTATTTTGTGCCACGCAAACGCTCGCCCGTAACGTTTCCATTTTCCCCATCAATGTCAAAACCTGTAAGAATTAATAATAATACATAAGTTCACATAATACTTCCTTAGATTTACGGGAATATTTGACAGATAAAAATTTTATAAACTATAGATTCGGTCTCGGTATTGATGATAATGACTATTTCAATAACATTTTCCAAAAAATATTTAATGTATAAATTTGGCTCAGTTACAATTTTATGTTAATTTTATGTTATATAGATTCTTGTTTATCTACCCGGTTAATTTCGTTACCTATAGACAATCGTTTGCGTGTGCGTGTGTGTGTGTGTGGATATTTGCGTGTGTGTATATATAAGTGTTTGTGTGTATATATATGTCATCACCTTGGTATGCTCCCGCAGCATATCGACGGTCAGCCGGTCGACGCGCGTGGGGCACGGCGGCAGGCGCGGCACCGGGATGCTGTTGGAGGAGGAGACGGCGCGGCCCGGGTACGCCAGCGCGAGCCGCGCCTCCGTGCGCTTGCGCTCGCGCTCCAGCTGCCGCCACTGCTCGTAGCACGCGTCCAGACGCGAGTGGAGGATGCTGGATGAGGTTGATGGCGATCTGGACATGTCATACATACGTACTAAATAAATATAAATAAATAAATATATTGAGACATTAACACACAGCGCCATCTAGATTCATAGTAAGCTACGAGGCTGTGTTATGGATACCGGATAGTTGATACACTACACGTATATTATTCTGTAAAGTACATAATATAAGTATTGGTAGTTTGAATAAATAAGCACTAAGGCGACAAAATAATGACACAAATGTGATAATAATACAAAATATTGTCTTTGTGTAGGTTGTCATTAAAACTCAACAATTAAATTTAATGGGAAATAGAAAGGCGAATTATCTAGAAAGGTTATAATCTATGCTAATTTATGAACTTTTTGCGCAAAAATACAGGTATAATATAAATAATAATATTTGTGAATTAAAAGTAGAAAAATCATCTTTTTCGGCGCACGGAAATGAATGGAACGCTACTTTATATATTTACTATATTACTATATTAAATAATTTCACATTATTACATATTTTCTTTGACATATATTACACGATTGAAATAACGAAACTTTAATAACATCCATTTTTTACTTCAACGCGCGGTTGAAGTAAAACTTCTTTGGAAAATATCGTAATTAAATTAAAACAAATCAATAATTAAATAATGCATATTAGGCATGTTACAATCATATACTTATAGAATATCATATACGGAAAGAATATAATATTATACATTTGTCAGACAATATTAGAACGGTTACCATGGCACCACTGCAATATATTCTATATTGCAGTGGTGCCATGGTAACCTAAGGTAAATCTCCTCTCGCCGGCTTAATCTTATATATTTATGTGTGTCTATATATATATATATATATATATATATATATATATATATATATATATATATATATATATATTATATATCACAACGATTCTAAAAAAGTTTCATTACAAAAATTTATAAAAATCCGACCAAACACCGATGACATTGGCTTACCTCATATTCCTCATAGCGTAGAAAGGCGCAAGTACAGGCAAGTCCAACATCGGCGAAGGTAATACTGGTGGCGGCACGTGAGGCGGACTCGGGCCCAAAATGGCGCCCAGACCTAAGAAAATTTGTGTTTATTTAATATTAGATAGATAGATAGATAGATAGATGCTTTATTGTACACCACAAATAAATATACAAAAAGAAGATATAAACAATAGATGATGCACAGCAGGCGGCCTTATCGCTATAAGCGATCTCTTCCAGGCAACCTTAGGGCGTAGGAGAAATTATATGAAATGGTAGGCGGTGTACTTACTACACACAATTGCATATCCTAAATACAGATATACATAAATACATACATACATACATATATACATACATACATTCATACACACACATACATACATACATACATAATACATACATACATACATAAATGCATAAATACAATATTATTGCTTCCCAATACATTCCTTTATTATTTTCACCCCCTTAAGGGATGATTTCCGGGATAAAAAGTATCCTATGTCCTTCCCAGGGTCTCAAACTATTTTCTTACCAAATTTCATGTAAATTGGTCCAGTAGATCCAGAGATTACCCCCTACAACGTCACAAACTTTACCTCTTTATAATATTAGTATAGATAATATTATCTGTATAACATCGTCCACACTAATATTATAAAGAGGTAAAGTTTGTAAGTTTGTATGTACATAGGTTTGGAGGTAATCTCTGACACTACTGATACGATGCTGAAAATTCTTTGACTAATAGGAACCTTAGGCGGTGGTAGCTGGTAGTCGTTAATCTATACAGATAAATAAAATTGAAGTGTCTGTTTGTAATGTCAAAATAACAGCGTTTTACTAAATGCATATGAAATTATATGTATATGGTACTTATAAAAAAAAACACATTTTTTATGTCTGTCTGATAATCTCTGAAACGGCCGGACTAATTTTGACGGGACTTTCACTGGAAGATAGCTGATATTAAGGGAGTAACATAGGCTACTTTTATTTTAGAAAAAAATCAATACATAACTAGGGGCGCGAGAGTCGCTAGTAATGAATAATTATAATATTTAATAAATTGTTAGCTTTTATAAAGATTACATTTTAGTATATATTCATTCGGATAAGCAACAAATCCAAAATGGCACCAATATAAGTTATTTTTTTTAAATCTATTTAGAACCACTCTTGAGGCGTGACCTATTCATTGAAAAAAAAAAACTTATTTAAATCGATAGCTGGCGAAGATATTGTGTAACACACAACAATAGATTAAAATCGATAAACTTGAAGTCGTCACACCATAGATACTATACGAGTATAGAAACATACTGTAAATACGTTTTTGTTATACGTACACTTCCCACCGACAAATTATTAAACCTCAATTTTAAGAATGTACCTTAAGACATTTCACGCTAGAATAAAAAACCCCACAAGAATAAATCTATCAAACAATATATTATCACTGTAATGTATACTAAACCAAATAAAGCAACACTTACCTAGATTAAATGGAGTGTTTTCATGCAAGAAGGACACATCAACATTCAATTGGTTGGGCGGTGGCCTATTTCTTATTAGCATGCTCATCTGTCGCGCTAATTCCTGCTGCCTTAACAACGCCTGCTGAGGGCTATCCCGCGCCAAGTTCTCGAAACTTCTATCCCCATTTGTACTTGGAAACCCATCCCTGCCCTGCACTATTTGGTTCATATCACGCCTTTGCAAATACTCATTCTGGTGAAAACCATTCGGCTTGTATGACATTGGCGAGCTGGATGGATTGGAAAAATCGTAATTTTGCCCCAAATTCCTATCGGACACTTGCAACATCATATCGTTTAAGTAGAAATTTTCGCCGTTAAACTTATTCGGTTGCTGAAAGTTCCTGCCGTTGAAGAACATCTTGTTCCTTTCCTCTTGCATTTTCAATTCATCTTGGAAAGCTCCACCCAAATCTAATGGCATTTTGAAGTCGCCTTGAAGCAAATCGTCTCGTGGACGATCATTGGATAAGGTGAGCTGGTTCAGATAAGCGAGCAAATCTGTCGACTCTTGATTCTGTTCTTTTACAAAACCATTCTCGAACTTATTTGGAAACCTTTGATTGTATGGAGCATCAAAATTTGAATTGTAGTTCGTGTCTATGTTAAGACTGTTAGGCCTCGAATACGTGTTTGGGAACACGTTGGTTTCCGGTAGTGAATTTCTTTGGTTGGGCTCGAAGAAATTGTAGAACTTATCGTCAAATTTATTAGGACTTTGGAATTGGGCACCGCCTATTTCTTGAGCAGCAAGGCGTAGCAAGTTTAGCTGCTCGGGTGTAACAGTCTCATTACTTATAGGATCTATTGTGAGGAGCGAATTCACGTCACTGTCTGGAAAATTGACGTAGCCGTTTACGCTGAAGCCATTTGGGGTGTGGAAGTTATATCCGTTTTCATTGGTAAAGTTAAATAAATTATTATTATAGGGGAAGGAAGCGGGAGACGGCATGAATGAGCACGCTGCATCGGCTGTAGGGTATTGGCTTAAGCTCGGTGGTATACTGTTTACACTTTTTTCCGGTGGCGGCATAGAACTGGAATAAAATATTTTATTTATTAATCATATTGAACGTAAAAAATAACTTATTATTTTCATTGTCACTATCATTTATCAATAATAATATATATTATAATACTAGTTATGTCTATTTATTAAATTAAAATGGAAGGGGATCAAAAAAGGTTTTAGATTTTTTATCTGTTTGTCTGCAATGTGCATTGACGTTATTCTACAGTTATTAAATGTTATTAGTTATTACATTTAATAACAGTAGAACAACGTCAATTTAATAGCTATATAATTAATAGTCCATCTGCCGAATAGGTCTAAAAATTATAACTTGAACTCCTTATATAAGGCCACCAACACACACCGGGCGTCATACATAAAGGTGGACACCATAAAATCTATCAATAATGTCCAAATAAAGCATTTTAAAATATTATCTTGTATATATCAATGAGAAGCTTTTAAAACATGACCTAAAAGGGAAATACATGTATGACATTTCAATAGAATTGGGGCTTTCAACTAAATAGTATGCTATTTCGAGTTTAGAGTGGTTTGAACTTTATATAATCTCTTTTATTCCTCGTTTGTGTATTTGTGTTTTTGTCGGACTACTATCATTATAGTTTATATTTATAATTATATATGTAATATATAAACGTGAAATTTTGTATGTGTGTATGTATGTTTGTTACTCCTCCACGCTAAAACGACTGGACAATTTTTGGATGAAAATTAATAATACACAAATTGACTATGACATTGTGTAATATATAGGCTACTGTTAAAGGCATTTAGGGATGCTACTGAGCTAAGTGAGGGTAGTCTCTAATAAAATAATATAAAAGTATTACATAGGTATCCTACCAATGGCTGAAGGTATAGGATAGATGAATAGATGGATGTTTGTTACTCTTTCACACAATAACTATTGAACGGATTTTGATAAAACTTGACAGTAATATAGCTTATACATCAGACTAACACTAATATAATTTCTAAAGATATATTAATACATAATTAAACAACGCGTGCGGAGTCGCGGAAAAACCGTAGATCATATCCACATATCTTTCTCGCATACATATATGTATGTAATATACAAATTGTTCGAATGCAATGTAAGCGCTTGTCACATATTGCCACCTACATTTGAGTGTTTTGCAGTTATTGATTTGTAATGTTGTCGGAATTGGACTATATTTAGCGCTAGTTCAAGGACTGTAGGTATGTGTTAAAAACACAACGTATCGAGTTTTGGTAATATGTGTCACGTCTATTGAATAAAGAGATACCTGTAAGATCAAACACATGGCCTTTAATACACTATATAAAAAAAATAAGTTTAAGCAAAAATCCAGTTGTGTCATAACATATGTCATTACACTAAGTCAAAACCATAGCCAAGCTGATATAACCAATACTCGTCATCTCAATGCATTATAATTTTTAATTTTATAAAAAAAAACGCTTACTCTATTCTATTGGAAATTTAAAAAAAATGACATATAAAAAGAAATTCAAATGTATCCATTTAAATGACAAATAACTAAAATACATATCTGCAACATTAGTCAAAAAGCTGAAAATAGAGCTAATATTACAAAAATAAACAGCGTATTCAAAATTTTAAAGTAAAAGAAAATTTAAGCCATTAATATAATTTAACTAAATTTCAAAGTAAACTCAATATTTCTCGCTTTAAAAAACAAATAAGCAACATAAAAAATAATTAATAATATTGGGAACGTAAAATGTTAAATAAAATCCGCCCACCCGCACTTGGCCAGCGTGGTCGACTATGGCCTGATCGCCCTCGTATTGGGAGGCCCGTAGCCCAGCAGTGGGACGTTAAAAAGGGTTGAATATAAAAATGTTAAATCATACTCAGACAGAAGCTATCATCCTAGATATTATTATAAGACCTAAATATAGCAAACTGAACGATGGATATACTCTATAAGAATCGATAGGAATTTGACCATTTGATAATTTATATGGACACTAGCGACTCACCCTCGATCCGCTCGGGTTCGTCCCTAGTTACGTTTTAACGATTAGTATAGATTTCTCAGAGATGAGATATTTTCCCGCAGTAAAAAGTATCCCATATTTTATTGTTGACCCGGATAACCAGCTATCATCATACCAAATTTCATCAAAATCTGTCCAGAGGTGTTCTCGTGATGCGTTCTCATAACTCTGTATCGATAATAATGAGAGGTATATATACTTCTGATTTCAATAATGATATATCTATAACATATATCAAATTTCTAATTTCATAGAAGTAAAATATACCTACATAATATATAGACAGATTATGGAGGACAACCGTAAGACCATAGAGCGTTGTTTTGAAGTAAATACCTATAGGTAATACACGTGTAATAAAAAGGTTAAAAACCAGTCTTAGTAAGCAAAAGCTGACCACTTACTAAAATGCAGTTTGAAAATAAAAACATACGATATAAGTACGTTTAGACAGACAATAGGTAAGTTTCTCGAAGTATTGATGTTTGAACATCACTTTGAAAGAATCGTTATACATACGTCATTTTTATAGCTGAAGCAAATATGGACTACAAAAATACGAATACCCAACAGGATATTCTGTGCGGAAAAGTTTATAAAAAAATACAGTGGTTTTTCTAACCAATTAAATTTTGGTTTTATAATTCCTAGTAAATCTGTGATAGGTACTGAACTTCTTGATTTGGAACTTTAATTCTAAAATCTAATAGTTTACTTTTAGACCCAAAGTTTACTATAATAATCTATACAGTTAAATAAAATTGAAATATCTGTTTATAATGTCAAAATAACAATTTTTTACTAAATGCATACAAAATTATATACGGTACTTATAAGAAAATCACAATTCTTAAAATTTTTGTCAGTCCGTTTGTTTCCGGCTAATCTCCGAAACGGCTGGACTAATTTTGACGGGACTTTCACTGGTAGTTAGCTGATGTTATAAAGAGTAACTTGATTTTTTTTTTATTTTAGACCCCCCTTCTCCTCCCTCAACTTCTAGTGCCAGAGGGACAGTGGCCAGAGTACAATGAACTGCAGATATGATTCGAAGTTCGCGCAAAACCAAAGTTTTATGTACGTGGTATTACTATTCTAAATAGTGTTATTTAGCATCATGTAATTGGTGAGTCACTGTGTTCTCTCTACTCACTAAAGTCTATAAAGCCTAGTTCGCATTAAGCTAGTATTTTAGTCTAGTAGCGAGTAATTTAGTAACTAAACGTGTCTGAACACTAAAAATTTAGTCGATTAGTTTAGTAAGTAATTTAGTCGAGTCAATCCATTTTATTCTATTTTTTTGGGCGAGTAGCAGCCCCCACCACGCGTCCGAGCTCACTGGTTCACCGGCTAAACAAGTACGAACCTGTCGAATTAGTCGAGTTCATTAGTTGCCGCCATAATGTCGTTTCGCTGGAGCGAAGAAATGACTTTTAAATTTGTTTCGAAATATGTTGAACACGAATGCGTGTGGAATATTAGGTCCTTGCATTATAAAAACAAGCATATGAAACATTCCGCATACTTAGATTTGGAAAAAATAATGAATATACCCGGATTTCTTTTTATTAATCACACAAATTTCCTCATCCACCTCTTCTAAAATAGCCGTTACGATCAGCTTAATCAGTTTATTTACTTTATTGCGTTGTAGGCTGTTCATCTTGCAAGACACCACTCACTTGTAAACTGTACTCGACCAAAGTGCGAACGATTTTTGGTGAGTAGCGAGTAATTTAGCTACTAAATTACTCGCTACTAGACTAAAATACTAGCTTAATGCGAACTAGGCTTAAAAATGATGTAACATAGCTGTAGAACAGGTAAATATTTTCCCATATTTACAAAACAAATCAGCGATTACATAAAATCTTGGAAGATTCCTTCTAGAATATGTGTCACATTTTATTTAAATAATAAAAATGAAATGCTTAAAAACTATCACCGCGACATTTCGAATGCTTTACAGCAATCATGGTCACAGGAGATACTAAGGTTTTAGACGTCTCAAAGATCGTGTAGTTGTTACAGACAGTACGGATACACAAAATTTTAAATTATACAATTAATGAATTTAAAAAAAAAATTGCACCAAAATGCCTTATAATATTGGTAATTTTAATTTTTAAAAACAAAATAATTCCGCGAAAAAATTCAAAATGATAGTTTTATTTAAAACGTCAAATACTTATTCGGGTAAATCTGAGGAAGTATTATAGGTATTTATACTTAATGCTGTTTTGTTGGTAAGCGCATTTCTTGAGAACGGTTGGACCCATTTGGCTAATATTTTTAAAATGTACGAAACATGAAATGTATGAAAATGTGCAAATAAGTTTTTTAGGGAAAGTTTTTGGAAAAGTTGCCCAGAAAATTTGAAAAATCTAAAAGTGGACCAATTTTTGTATTGCCTCTTAGATTATAAATAAACATGTACATCGATATAGAGAAAGGACAGCGTTTGTCGTGTCAGCTACTGGAAAAAAATTAACTAAAACATTAGCTTGTAGCATTTGGAAAATGTTGTAATTGAATTCAATTTTCATATATAAGAAACAAGTCATTGTTCATGGCACTGACACACACGTAATTCTTTGTCGCTATTTTTATTACGGTAAAGTTACAGTAGGTAAATTTATTAAATAACTAACTATAGAGCTTACTAGCAGCTCACCCCGGTTTGTTTCGTTTCGTCCTTGCTTACGTTACCCCGGATAACCAGCTATCATCACACCAAATAACATCAAAATGCCTCCGGTAGTTTTTCCGTGATGCGGTCACAGACAGAAAGACAGACAGACAAAAACTATAGATTCGGCCTCTGTATCGATAACAATGTTTTGAAAATTTCAATAAGATTTCCCAAAAAATATTTAATGTACAGATTCGGCTTAGTTACAATTTTTAGATTAGATATACCAGCCTTTACTTATGTTTATACTAGTGCATCGTCCTTACTTTACTCATGCTTTTAATTTTCGTGTTTTAACTTTTATCATTATTATTCTTTCCGCATGAAGAAATCTTCACTACTAGCTAGGCATTTAGTGTTAGTAAAAATCTAGCCAAAAAATGTATTTATTAAATTGAAAAAGAAACCATCTATCAGATCAATGGTTATCGTGTAACAAATGCAAAACAAACAGACAAATTATATAATTTTTTTTCAATATATAAAATATTATAAGCATATAATAAAATCGTAACAAGATCAAAGTTTAAACATTGTTCAATTTTTATGAAAATGTATTAACAATTTTCGAGTTCGTCTATGACGACCTGAACTTTCTTTAGTTAACGGATAATCTGTTTCATTTAAATAAAAGCTATAATAAAACAGTTAGTAAGCGATGTGAGTGTGTACATTGAATTTATTCATTTAAAAATGGTGTTAGGGCGTTGTTTGGAATGTACGAGGCGCGTTTAATGTATTCTTAATATCAGAATGAAAAATAAACCGAATTGCTCTCAAATATTTTTTTATAATATGACTAACCTCAACACATTTTATTATTTAAAAAAAAATGAGAATTTTCTATAGATACTATGAAAACAAATGAAATGTTTATTTTGCCGTTTTAACCTTTTATACGTGGGTGACCGAACTATCCGCGGCGTTTTTTGGAAAACATACCTACGTTCTATCAGAAAATACGCTTTACATATAGGTACCTAAAAAGCGAAATCTTATCTAAATACGAAATACGATCCAAATCGTCAGTCGTTTTCGAGGTACACGAAATAAATGTATGTATATATGTACATACCTACATAATATATACAAGAATTGCTCATTTAATATTATAACTAGCGACTCACCTCGCTCCGCTCGGGTTCGTCCGTACGTTTACGTCTAAACGTCCGTAGGTACGTTTTAAGGGTCAGTATAGATTACTCAACGATGAGACATTTTGCCGCAGTAAAAAGTAACCTATATGTAGACCCGGATAACCGGATAATCATCATACCAAAGTTCATCAAAGTCAGTCCAGTAGTTCTCTCGTGATGCGTTCCCAGACAGACAGACAGACAAAAATTCTAAAAACTATAAATTCGGTCTCTATATTGATAATAATGACTATTTCAATAAGAATCTCCAAAAAAAAAATTTAATGTATAGATTCGATTCAGTTAGAATTTTATTATATGTACCTATAGATTGAAAAGTTATTTTTCATGCTAAATATCCTAATTCTAAAATAAAAACCATACAATCGTACACACTGTATGAGCAGGCCAAGGCTATAGGTAAATTTTTCGAAACCATAATTTCTCACAGCAACTTTAGAAACACTTGCCATGTGAATCTGTGCATTGTTATGAAAAAGTAATACACCGTAAGTTTTCCTCGTTTTTTCCTTTAATTGCCACCCTTTAATTGCGCAAAGTAGTTGTGAAAAATGTTGTGCTATGGTTTCGCACTTTTCAAACTCAAACAAATTAACTTTCAAAGTATTGCGACCATGACTTTTCTGACCGAAGAAGTTACTATAAATTTCTTTAGAACGTTTGCACTTTTCTTTTGCTCGCTTATGTTTTTCTATTTATAATTTTCATTATAAAAGAGGAAATATCAAAAGTCCATATTGACTTCTTTGAATTAGTAGATTACCAAAGCTGTCTTAACCAACAACTATGGTGTCAAATATCATTTATGTATAACTAGCAGAACCCGCGGCTTCGCTTGCGCTAAAACTGCAAAAAAAAAAACTCTAAAAAGGTAGGTTTCATACAAATTTTCATCCAATATTTTAACCCCTTATGGGATGAATTTCGAAAAATGCTGAAACACGTATTTATTTAATTCTATTAAAGAGCATTAATACCAAGTTTCAAGTAATTCTGATTATAAACATTTTTTGAGTTGTATTATAACGTGTTTTCCCGTGGGAACTAGATAATCTCCCGCGGTAAAAAGTCTATATCACTCTCCAGCTCTCCAACTATCTCCACCCAAAAAACCAAGATAATCCGTCACTCCGTTTCGACGTAAAAGAGAGAAAGACAAACAAGCAAACACACTTTCACATTTATAATATTAGTATGGATCTACATATTTGACAAGCCACACACAATATTTGGCTTATTAAAGCCATCACAAATTTAAACATGTGAAGAGCCGTTCCGATGGTATCAGTTTTTGTGCATAAATCAAAGGAAATGAACGACAAGTGGTTATGATGCATGCACACCTTTGTACGTTAGTAGAGATTTGAATTTTGTGGGAAATAGCAAGCGTGTAGATCCGGCGTAAGAAACCATTGCGGTTGAGACCTTATATAATATGTATATAATAGGGATCCAAGTAAGGAGCTTATATTATGTCGAAAATTATTTTTGTATGTTAACTGCAACAAGTAAACAAGCTAACCTAATTAATTCTGACTTTTAGAAGAACGACTCATAAGGGAATGGAGAATAATCACCTGCACTAATAGTTAAACCTTCAATCTTTCCATTTAAATATATTTGACTAGTTTTGAACTTTGGTATCTTTTTAGGGTACCACATTCAAATTGCTAAACGGAACGGCCCTTATAATTTTGCCTTGTCCGTATGTCCATATGTCACAACCATTTTAGTCGAAGACTATTAGAGCTAAATAGCTGAAATAACTTAGTACTAAGTAGGTAGGTGTAATTGGAATCGCTAATTCTGTAATCAATCTGTATGGAACCCTCGGTGTCTGAGTCAGACTCGCACTTGTCCTGACATTCTCATTATTTCGCGAGGTTGTTAATCATTATGGTCGAACTTTCTTTAAATTTTTGTTCTTAGAGGATGCAACGAGGTCTACAATTTACAACCAAACTTAACCAAACTTTTTGTTTAGTTGATTCTAGGAATGTTTAAGTTATTTTATTTATAATGACTAAAATGTACAACCCAAAATATGAATTCTATTGAACGATTTTTTTATATGTACCCTCAACTAATGTGATTATTTCAAGAAATAATTAAATCACCCACTTTTTAATTTAATAGCACAATACCAAGACTGCATCGGTCATTCCATATATAACGTGTTCTCCATTTTACGAGATATTGGCGAAGTGAATTTTGCCCAAAGGCAATCCTAAAAAGCACTAAAATAAAAATCGAATTGAATTGACGACTGCATTGAAACCTCTGTAGGTTTCAATGCATTCAAAGTTTAATATAATTAATCCTCTTTAATTACAATATCAGTGAAGTAAACTCACCTGCTCCCTTCTGTGGGTCCGGTCTCATCCAGGATTTTCGTGATGAGATCCCGGACCATGGCATTCTCTTCCATAATACGTTCCGACTGAAAACAATTATATTTTATAAGAAAAAGTAGTTTTTTGTTAAACGAAAGCGTGTAATATTTTTAAAAAGAATACATTTAAAATAAAATCTAAAAAATTAACACACTTTCTATAGGAAGATTCTATTTATATGAAAAAAATCATGTAATAAAAAAAATGAATTTAAAAAAAAACCTTAGTCGTATTCATTTTAAGTACGTCACAAACAGACATACATTTAAATACGTATGTAAAGCTAGCATGGCAAAATGAACAGAATCGCTTAAAAATAAGTGCAAAAATTTGTGCTCATTTAGTGCCAAAAGGTAAAATTTTAAGCTCTTATAGCTTGATCAAAAATTAGAAAATTGCTAGCTTTTAATTAAGCTAACCGTGTACTGCCGTGTTCTGAGTTATCACCTGATGATATTGATTAATGTATAGTTTTTAGAATTTTTGTCTGTCTGTCTGACCTCCTCCTTTTTTGAAGTCGGTAAGAAAAACAAACAGTAATTGTAAAACAAGACTGACTCAGAGATTTTTATTAAAAAAAACAAAGATTTAAACCAAAAGGCCGAGAACCGAAATAAATATAATATAAATGCATAATTACGAAATCTTTTACATACAAATATCTATTTATTGAAAATAGAATACCTACTATATTTTTTTATGTGAGATGTGAATTTATGAGACTCCCGCATCTCTGCTTGAGCATGTTTTTCTGTTTAGTAAAACATACCTTTTTTTTTTAACGTAGGGAAATGCATTTACGCACGACGTGTGGGATTCACCGGCGTAATACAGCCAGTACTACCCACTAAAACCCAACAAAACCTTCCCCCGTCTTAATGGGGCGTCGCAGGATCGCTTACGCATTCAACTACGACGCCCCGACGGCAGGTCTGCCGAAGCAGACCACCACAACCATGGGGTTGCTCCACAGTCCACTCTGCTATCAGAGAAGTACCAGGAGCAACCCGCATGGTACACCGCCCCCCGAAGAGGGCCACCTCCCACCGCCCACCGAAGTGGGCAACCTCCCTGTGCGTTTCTTAGCTTCGCGCCCGGTTGGATTGCCGGGCACTACTGAGCCCCCCCACCACGACAAGGTGAACGCACGTTGGGGGGGTTAGTAAAACATACCTTAACATAATCTTTGATTACACAGTACTGCAAAATGCAGTTAAGCAATCAAATAAATTACATATATAAAAGCTATACAATTAAATATTTTAGAAATTCCTTCAACTATAGTTAGAGTATATTATTTTTCTAAAGTGCCAATAGAAAATATCAATGACTTCTTACTAAAAATGCACATGTAAAAGTAAATTATTCTTTCTACCTTTAGGAGCAGATTATTTTTTGGAAATTTAAATGGCCACTCTTGACTTATTTATTAAAATTCTATGAAAATTGATTTATAATTAGCAAAAATATCAAATAACATACAAAAATACATCCATAATGACCCAAAATGACAAAATGAACTACTCTTTTCAAAGTTAGTCAAAATTATTCATAAAAAAATCTTTAGCTTTCAATATTACTTAGTAAAATATAAAGATTATAAACTAAAACAATAATACCAGGTAGCATTTTACAGAATAATTTTATTAACAACCTAAAGCAAAAGCCCATAACAGAGAGACAGATTAATTATTATATTTTAATAAATGTTATTAAGTAAATACAATTATTATATTAAATAAAATATTTTAAAACATTTCCAATAAAGATTTTATTTTTTTATTATCAAGACAAAAAGTTCTAGTCTTCATTAATCAAATTAACATTTAACACCCACTATCTTTCACTTAAAAGTTTTGAGTAGAAAATGTTTACCAAGCCTCTATTCATAGTTTCTATATAAAAAAAATACTACATATTACCATTTTTATTATTATCCAATATGCATATTGTTTTATGTAAATATATTTTCTACTATTATTTAAATAAGATTTACATGTTCAAGTTGGCTGAACAAACAATGAATTAATTATTCATTCAATAATAACTTTCAAAAAAAACTTCACTGTAAGCTAGCTAGTATTTGTTGAGTTTAACGACTTTTAGCTGCATGCTTCTCGTATTAAAGAAATTTAATTTGCCAATATACATCTATGCCATACATATAATAAAATTGTAATATAATAAAGCCGAATCTGTACATTAAATATTTTTTGAAAAATCTTATTGAAATAGAAATTATTATCAATACAGAGGCTGAATCTATAGTTTTTATAATTTTTGTCTGTCGGTCTGTCGGTGATCGCATCATGGAAAAATTACTGGAAAGATTTTGGTGATAGCTGGTTATTTAGGTCAACACATAGGATACTTTTTACTGCCGGAAAATATCTCATCTCTTTCTCAGAGATATCTATACTAAAGTTGAATAGTTTGTTTTAATGTGCTAAAAGTAATCTCTGAAAGATCTAGTTCTACTTGAAAAATTCTTTTTGCATTTATTAAGCAAGCTTAGGCTAACCACACCACAGTCTGTAGGAGCAGAGCATTAATACATAAATATTCATTCAATTTACTAACATTTTTAAGTTTTTTTGCTAAAGACAAATAAATCAGAAACACTTAAACCTTATTAGGTGCATAGGCATATATTTTAAAATTAGAGTTGAAAACTAAATAACCTTCTTGTTTTAATATTATCTTAAAATAACTAAAAGGTAATACTAATCAGTAAATCAACACACTTTCAATAAAGCATAATATATAATAATTGAGTAATATCTATGTTGTATAATATAAATTCAGCATGATAATCATTTACAAATATCCATTTTTATTTGTTATCATTAAGTTTTTTTTTTTAATTGTCTCTCAGTCATATATCATGATATGACCTGCTTTATCAATACAAACATTCTTTATTGTAAACAGGATGAAGTGTTCTCGCAATGTACCCATAAATACAGCTACATACCTTAAAATGATGCAATATATGTTTGGTTTAAATGTATTATTGTTATTGACTTAACTATGAAGGACGACGCAGTGTATAAAATTGATAGAGAAAGTCTATACAATCTAACGCGTAGTATGTTCATAGATCTATTAAGAACATTACCGTGAACTATTGTCCCAACCGTGTAAATATCACATTTTTGATCATAATCAAAGCGCCCACGACTCTCAGCTTTACCTTTTATTACGTCCTCTAACGTGCAAACTACATAATTCTAAAAATATTGTATGCAGTATTCATATGTCATCGTACACCACGAAAAATAAATAGCACTTTTCACATATAAGATTGAATATTGATAGTTTTAACTGCGGCTTAACGTCCTCATGGTATCATTTTTATCATATTACACGAATACAACAAATATTTATATGGTTTTCACGATTAATAGGTCAGAATGACAGCTCTGGCCTCCGATTGGACATTTACAACACCCATGGAAAAGACACTTTTCACAACACACACTGTACAACTTACCTGATCAACTTCATTTTCCACAGCTTTGAACGCGTTACTTATGTGACATAAATCACTGTAGGCCATTTAAACTTAAAAAATATATTTTTACCACAGTAAATAGGAGCTACAAGTTCTAAGCCATTTTTCTTTTGACCTACATGTGTATAAATTGTACTATAGCTATAGAAGTAGCAACGGTGTTGCTGTCACGTAGAACTTACAAACAACCACAGCGCACAATCGATTTGCTTTATCAAGAAAAGTAATATTATTATTACGGTAACTTACATAAAAAATAAAATCTTGTGGAAAATCTCTAATAGATAAGTGCTATTAAAATATTTTATAGTTTCCCGCGTTTTTCGTGTATTATTTTTTTTAATTTTATTTCACATAATCTTACCTCGCTTTTTTCATAGATATAGACAGAATAAAAAAATATATTTAAATAATTACGCAATTATATTAATGCAAATACAAGTCCGTACATATTTAATGCACCCTTTTATTTAATGGATTTATTAATCTTTACAATAATTATTATTTTCAATTTGAAATTTTCAAGCTTTTTTTTTACTAGAAATAAAAAGGAAGTATGTACATATATAATTCAGAACATATTAGTTTCAAAAAGTTTTATTTTGCCTTAGCATGAGTAAACGTTAAAATTTATTAATTAGGTACACGCTACAAAAAAGTTATACACGGAAGAATGAAAAATTCAATCAAAAAAACTTTTGTACATTTATGACATTTCGAAACATACAGATAATATATTATACCTATTGTGCTGCCATCTTTCCGATATTCAATAAACTTTTTGCTAAAACCCGTTGCGTGTAATGTAATATCGTCTTAAAAGATGGCATACATTACAAATAATAATTAAAAAATAGAAAAAATATAAAGTTAGATTATCTATCTATCTATCTATACTTATTATAAAAATAAGTCCCCCGGCCGCGTCTTTCTGTCCTCCTGTCTGTCCTCCTGTCTGTCTGTACGCGATAAACTCGAAAACTACTGAACGGATTTTTATACGGTTTTCAACAATAGAAAGAGTAATTCTTGAGGAAGGTTTAGGTATATAATTTATTATGCTTTTATGTAAATTAGCTGAAATACGGCGACAAATGTTGAAGAGGTCGCAAAAAATCTCGCCAAATGGGAACTTTCCACGCGAACGCCGCGTAAACTAGCAAAGATACAGTTAAGTAATGTACTAGAGAATTCAAAATCTATAAAAATGCTACAAAAAAGTCCGCGATAGCATATCTCTATCTCTTACGGTTGACTTACAATAACCACTTTTATGTTAACATTTTTAATTAAAAACATTACGTTATTTTCAAAGTTATTTTCTTTAGTTCGGTATTAATCCTTATCCAAATGAATATTTTAGTTAGCTTAGTCATTTAATGCAGATTAAAATTGCTCTTTACACTAAATCAATCAGATGAATAGTTTTTGAGATATCGTTGTTAGAAGTAATTAGTAGCGAAACATTTTTAATGCTTGGCGAGCATTGAGATGCCTACGGCGAGTCCATCCCCTCTGCCCCGCATCGCTCGACCGCCTGCTCAAGCTATATAAACCGGGCGATGTAGCGCGCGATCCTAGGATACTTTTTACCGCGGGAAAATATCTTATTTCTGAGGAAAAATACAAAAACTGCAATGTAAGAGTATACTAATATGTAACACCTAAGAATTTAGTTTTTGGTCATCTGAACGCGGGCGGAGCCGCGGGCAATGCTAGTAAGTCAATAATTATTGTAGTCACTGATAAAGTAAATGTATAATGTAAAGTAAGAATAGAGAACTTTGTAGTTATTGTGAATTTGGGGTTTTAGTTAATCTAAGGGGGTTAATAAATAAACCAAATTTCATGTGTTTAAGTATCTATGTTAAATAGAAGGCAGTGGTAGCGAACTCTTTTGGGAAACCAGGTAAAACGAGTTCAAAGACCCGGGTCTCGCCCTCTCACTTCTGATATTCTTGTTCAACGATGAAGGAAAACATCACGAGGAAATCTTCATATCTGAGAGAACGTAGCGAGTTTTTGAAAGACATGTGAAATCCGCCAACGAGCACTTGCCTAGTGTTGTGGACTATCGCCTGACCCCTCGTATCAGAGGAGACCCTTGCCCAGCGCGCATGTTGTAAAGGACTGTATACATATAAGCATGCCAGAGAAATAAACACACTAGACCTACTATTATTATAAAAGCAAAAGTTTCTATGTATGTCTATTACTCCTTAACTTATTACTCCTTAATTCCATCCAAATTCGTTAAGCCGTTGCTGGGCTTAACGAATTTGGATGAAATTTGGTATACCTATAGATGGACGTAAGACATAGTAGTAGTATTATTATTTAGTAATATCACGGATCAATACTATACTAGGTAATATATACTAAATGAAATACTTATTTCCTGCCAAGCTTGTAGAGATGGCAGCACCAAATACTGTCCCCCCCAACGTGCGTTCACCTTGTCGTGGTGGGGGGGCTCAGTAGTGTACTCGCGAAGCCAAGAAACGCACAGGGAGGTGGCCCGCTTCGGTGGGCGGTGGGAGGCGGCCTTCTTCAGAGGGCGGTGTACCATGCGGGTTGCTCCTGGTACTTCTCTGATAGCAGAGTGGACCGTGGAGCAACCCCATGGTTGTTGTGGTCTGCTTCGGCAGACCTGCCGTCGGGGCGTCGTAGTTGAATGCGTAAGCGATCCTGCGACGCCCCATTAAGACGGGGGAAGGTTTTGTTGGGTTTTAGTGGGTAGTACTGGCTTCGCCGGTGAGTCCCACACTTCGTGCGTAAATGCATTTCCCAACGTTAAAAAAAAAAAAAAAAAAAAAAAATTCATGGTAGTCGGATTTGCAAAGTAAGTCGAAGAAAAAACGGTCGAACGAAAACGTTTCTTACGAACCCTGCCTTAACGATGAGAGATATATGAATAATATGTTCTAGAGAAAAGTTGTAGAGCTTAATAATGCCTATAAAAAAGTCAGCGACAGCATATATCTAACTTTTATATTTAAGTCACAAAAAGTAGTTTTTTATATTAAAAAATAATTTAAATCGTAGGTCATGTTTATTGGTCATATTATCAACAATTATAAATTCTTATCAAAATAAGTAAATTTATCGTCTAAAATATTTAAAACAAAAAACTTTTCCCTTTTACTGCATATAATTTGGACAAATGGTTAAAGAGACAATACGACATCCACGTAGGTATGGAACCGCGATCGCGTCGTAACCTATTGAGTGATATTTCTATAAGATGGTTTTTTTCATATGTAATACGTCAATCTATCTATACTAATATTATAAAGAGGTAAAATTTATGACTTTGTGAGTTTGTGACGTTGTACGGGGTAATCTCTAGATCTACTAAACCGATTTAGATGAAATTTGGTAAGAAGATAGTTTGAGGCCCTGGGAAGGACATAGGATATATTTATGCAGGAAATCTATATATTTTAGATTTTTATATTTTTATCCGAATATTTATATATTTTTATCCCAGAATCATCCCTTAAGGGGATGAAAATGGGGTTGAAAGTTTGTATGGGGAAGCAAGCTAGGGACGAACCCGAGCGAAGCGAGGGTGAGTCGCTAGTTTTTAAAATTAAGTCAAAAGCTCTTTAATTTAAATATGTGGAAGTGGAAGAATTGTAAGGTATAAAAGAGGTATTTTGTTAAAAGAAAGGCAGTGTATTTTCTGGAGTGAGTTGAAGTAATGCTGAAAGTTAAAGGTGTCATAACGTAAATTCTTATAATATGAATTGAGATTGTACTTATTAAATACTTAGGTGATAAGTGATGTGAAAGTGAAATAAATATGGTAAAGTAAGAACGGGTTTCTTATACCGGCTTTTGGTAAGAGTTAAGTTCTTACACTTTGTAGCTCCCTTGTTAGTAGATTTAGAATTCACCACTTAGTCTTGTTGATTCCAAGATCTTCCAGATCTTCTGAGCGGAGAGTTTCTGTATCTCCTGCGGTTGCATAAAATACTGTTCTAGATGGCTTCTTCTGTAGTGCTTGAGTGATCCGCAAAGGCAGAGCTTTCTGACTCATGGCATAATCTGCACATTGTGAACTGACTTAATCCGAGCGTAAACATATGTTTATTAACGCACAGATTTTATACTTCTTCGGTTGAAACAACTCTTTAGTACCTAAATTTTATCTGTAGACATACATAGGCGTGATGAAATTGAGAAATGAAGGTCAGGTCACGTCATCGGAAAAAATAGAGAATATTACAATGATTAATAAAATTGAAATGGGACATCCCATTCAACGAAAAATGTGCCCGCCAACAATTTTGACACCTAATGAGGAACGATTGTTATGTCGATGGATAAATGCAATGGCTAAGAAGGGAATCCCTATTAAAAAGGAGCAGTTAATAGAAACAGTCATTAAAAAGTAGATCTAAGAATAAACCTTCATTTTAGTTTCAAGAATTGTTATTGTTATTATTAACACCGAAATCGATACTTGTTGGTTTTAATTACCCCTAAGGATAAACTTTTATTTAGAGTAAAGAAGGTTATAAAAAAAATCTACTTTTTTATTTAATTAAGTTTTAAAAATGTTCAACCACCCTTGTTTTTTTTTTTTTTTTAACGTTGGGAAATGCATTTACGCACGACGTGTGGGACTCACCGGCGTAATACAGCCAGTACTACCCACTAAAACCCAACAAAACTTTCCCCCGTCTTAATGGGGCGTCGCAGGATCGCTTACGCATTCAACTACGACGCCCCGACGGCAGGTCTGCCGAGGCAGACCACCACAACCTTGGGGTTGCTCCACAGTCCACTCTGCTATCAGAGAAGTACCAGGAGCAACCCGCAAGGTACACCGCCCCCCGAAGAGGGCCACCTCCCACCGCCCACCGAAGTGGGCTACCTCCCTGTGCGTTTCTTAGCTTCGCTACTACTACTGAGCCCCCCCACCACGACAAGGTGAACGCACGTTGGGAACCTAACCAAAAAGAATTAAGTGTTTTCCTTTTCAATAATAACTTAAATTAGATATCGTACATATAAAAAAATAAACTATAATAATAACA